CAGCATCATCTCCAGTGGAGGGTGGAGGGTCCTGCCCAGACGGGACTAGAGGAGCCTGCTGGGTGTTGCGAGGGTCCTTTGTCTTGATCTGAACGTTTCATAAACATAAGAATTCTATGAATTGTATACTAAAGGTCTGTGCATTTTACCACATGCACATTATTCTGCAATACAACTGTTTTTAATTTAACAAAAAGAGTTCATCAGTGCCTCCCAGTAATGAAACCAACCGGAAGCCAAAGGGCAAGGAGCCAGCCTCCCAGAGCACACACAGGGCTGGGCAGAAGAGGGCAGAATGGGCTGGAAAATAACTAGTGTGATGCTCGGAAAATGTTTGCTGAGTGAAATAGCAACCATTTTCACCTTAGTATGAATAAATAAAGAGAGTTTTTTTTCTAATAGTAAGCTTTGCTGTGAGACAATATGAAAACAGGAGGACACTTGGCTCTGGCAGACAGAGCACACTGAAGGAAATTCCTTACCTCACAGACAATGCTGCCGAAGACACCCTGGTCATGTGCTCAGCAGTGTCTGAGTATTTCCAAGGCTCAGTTTCCTAACCAATACTATAACAGACCTACCGCTTGTTAGTGCTTGACAGTCTACGATGTATTTCAAAAGCACTATCTCACCCAACCTGCATTGCAACCCACTGAGAGTTGGTAAGGAATATATATATCACCACGGATTATTAAAAGTAAAGAAACTGAAGCTCGAAAAAAGAAAACTTTCCCACAGTCACAGAATTTGAAAGTAGCAAGGCCAGGGTTCAGACTCAGAGTTCATTGTTTTATCCACTCTGTTACCAAATACACAGAAATTGGATTGGATGGTGGCTGAAGTTTGTCTGAGCTTTCACCATCTCTGTCGTCTGTGACACTTTCCCGTAGGTGAGGAACAACTCTCGTCTTAGGCCCTCAATGGTTGAGCTGTCCACCATTGTCACTGTTGCCGTCCTTACTGCTCACACTGACAGAGCACTCTGTGCTGGACACTGGGCCAGGCCAGCCCTCCCCTAGGGGATTTGATTCTCACACACCCTATGAGAGAGAAAGAACCTGTTGCCTTTGTACAGATGAGGACCTGAGGTCTGGGAGAGGTTCAGCGACCCCCTCGAGGACCCCAGCTGGATGCAGGTGGGCACCATGTCCCTGTGCTCCAGAGCACAGGCTGTGCCAATCACATGCCAGCACTCAGAGAGGGGAGAGCAGCCAGCCTTGGAGAAGGCACCAAGCCCACTGCAGTGCACCCTACAGACATCTCCTGCAGCCACAGGAGGGTCAACCTCTGGTCCCTGCCTGAGAGTGTGGGGTAAGGCAGAACACATCATGCACAGACTTCACAGGCACCATGTTGACAAACGTTTGTGAATCACGTACCAACGCTGAGGTTCTGATCTTGGTTGCCCTGGCGCAGAGGAGTTGCTGAGTACACACGAACTGAATGATGCTGAATGAGAGTGTGTATGTGTGAGATGGAACGTGAGGGCAGGACGCCTCCCCACACGCCCTGCGCCCACACGGCTGCTGCCCCTTTTGTCCTCTGCCTTGTGCTAGGTTTGCAGCCAGCGCGTCAAAGCACCATGTGTCCTGGCCCCCTTCTCCTCTGCACACACCATCCTGCAGCCACACATCAAGATTCCCACTTAGAGCAAAAGGTGACTAACAGCCTACATTTCCAGCCCCAACCTCTCCCTGAGAACCCGCCACAGGCTGAGGCTACTCCACCTACCTGCATGCTGTCCCTGGGACCACAGGATCCTACACCACCTCCCTGCCTATGTCCAATACTACTCCACATCTCCGCCTATGTGTGTCCAGGCCCATGTGTACCTATTCCATCTCTCTGCCTGACTCTGGTCCAGGCCCAAGCATGTCTACTCCACCTCTCTGTCTGAGTGTGCCCAGGACCATGGGTTCCTAATGCACCCCTTTGCCTGAGTGTGGTCCAGGCCGTAAGTATATACTCCACCTCTTGACGAACGAGTGGTCCAGGCCCAAGAGTTTCGGCTCTACCTCTCTGCCTGACTGTGGTCAAGGCCCATGGGAATCTACTCCACCTCTCTGCCTGGGTATGATCCATGCCCATGGGTTTCTACTTCACCTCTCCTCCTGAGTGTGTCCAGGCCATGAATTTCTACTTCATCTCTCTGCCTGTGTGTGGTCCGGGCCCACGGGTTTGTGCTCAGCCTCTCTGCCTGACTGGGGTCCAGGCTCATGCATGTCAACACAATCTCCTCTTCAACCATAAACTTGCTGGCCTCCTGCATTTCTCTTCCCAGTGAGGGCATTACTGTTTCCCAGGCACCCAAACTCAGAATACCAGGGTCCTGTCCTGCTGCTTCCCTACCTCTCTGCCTGACTGGGGTCCAGGCTCATGCATGTCAACACAATCTCCTCTTCAACCATAAACTTGCTGGCCTCCTGCATTTCTCTTCCCAGTGAGAGCATTACTGTTTCCCAGGCACCCAAACTCAGAATACCAGGGTCCTGTCCTGCTGCTTCCCTACTTGTCAGCACCATGTCCCTGAAATATTTCCTGGCTCCTCCTCCTCTCTGTGCCCACTGATCGAGCCCACGTCTGACACTTGACATCTTTCTCTTGGATCACACGCCGGCTTCCGTGGCCCAGTCCAGCTTCAGGGTCCCTCCACCCCAACGTGGCCTTCTCAAATTTATACCTGCACATGTCACTCTCCCCCTTCATCTGGCTCCCACTGTGAGAGCAAAACCCACTCTGACAAGGCTGCCCTATTTCCTACCATTCTCCTCAAGAACCCACACCCGCCTGCCCAGGGCCACACAGCATGCCACTGATGTCCCTTTGAGTCTTGGCTCTTCCTAGAAGCAATGCAGAATAGTCTCAGCACTCCCACCCACGCCTCGCCCCATTCATCCTTCAAGCCTCAAGCTTTTATGTCACTTCCCGGACACCTTTTGGGCAGAATTTACTACTTTGATCCCTTTGCAATTTGCATTCATATATTACTGCCAACATAGCATCTCAGTCATGCATCCACTCATTAACAAGTCTACACTGAATTCCTTCTGAGCCAGACAGCTCGCTAGCCCTAGGAATTAATGAGTGGATTGCACCGATTACCCTGGCAGTTACTGGTGTGTGAGAGTCCTCTGCGATCTTGACCTTCACTACTCCAGAATGGGCCTGATACACACACACCCCAGGCACATGTATTATGCCTCATACCTTCAGATCAATAAATCTGATGGCTGGCAACCCGATCTTGACCTTCACTACTCCAGAATGGGCCTGATACACACGCACCCCAGGCACATGTATTATGCCTCATACCTTCAGATCAATAAATCTGATGGCTGGCAACCTTGACTATAGACTGAGTATTAGATGCTATCATTTTTATTTTGTTAGGAGTAACAATATCACTGTGGTTATGTATTAAAATGTCCTTGTTTTTTCAGAGATGCAAGTTGAAGGATTTAATGTGAAGGTATTCAAATAAAAATATAGATAAGCAACAAGTATGTCAAAATGTTACAGTGGTTGAATGCAGGGACTGGGTGTAAGGGTTCTCAGTGTACTTTTCTTTCTATATGTCTCTATATTTGAATTTTTTCACTATAAAATGTTCAGAGGTGAGTTGAGTTGATTGGGGACATTTTCTCACCTATCAGACTGAAGGCATCAGTGGGACGGCAATTACTCACCTCTGAGGCTGGGACCAGCCCCCTCGGCTCTGGGCAGGAGAGGAACCCCTGTGAGCCTGGGGCTGGGGAGCTCCCAGCAGGCCAGTCCAGGATTTCATTCCAGAAGGAAGTGGTGTTTGGCTTCAACACTCCTGCTAGTCAAGCGAGGCTTGTTGACACTAGTGACCCTGCAGCCGGAGGCACATTTGTTTCTGTGATCCAGACTGAGGACGAGGCAGACCGAGGGGCCACGTTTTAAGTGATCAAGTCAATGTGCTACAACCAAGTGGAGGCAGGAGAAGCAGCGTGCGGGTCAAGCTACAAGTCTTAGGAGACACAGTTCACGACGGGCACTCAGCGGTTATTCACCTGGCTGTGTGCACCAGGCTGTGTCCCAGCAAGTCTCTATCCCAGGAAGTCTACTCTTTTTTAAAAGGCCCGAATTATGGGACTGCATCACCCCTTAACATGCTCAAGAGACCTCTGCTTCAATGCCCCAATTAAGAGCTCTGTTGAATCCGTTCTAACTCCCCGTCCTTCTCCGGAGGTCTGGGGGTGCCGAATTGCACCTTCTGGGGACGGACATCCACCTGAGCAGGGTGTGACAGAAATCCCCCTCAGCCCTGGGTCCATTTTCTCTTTCCTTCCTTACTCTTAGAAGGTCCCTTACCTACAGTTAAAAGGTTATTACTGAGGTCCGAACGGTTCCTTTCCCCCCTCCATTCTGAACGCCTTTATCACTGTTGCTAAACGCTCACGGTACAGCTGGGAAGGCGACTTCACGGAAAGGAAGCCAAGGCTTTTTCCGAGAACCTGAAGTGCTGCATGTCCCGGTGTCTGCGGCGACTTCCTCGTCTCTACCAGGAACCGGCTGGCTGGGGGTGAGCTGGACGTCAGGGCGCCCCAGCCCCGCGGACACCTGGCGCTCGCCCCACCTGTGGCCTGGGTAAACACACCTACCTTCCGCAGCCAACGCGATGCTGCGGGACCGGTGATGTCACCAAGTGCCCCAACCCCCAGAACGGCAAAACAGACGTAGGCTGACAAGCGACCATCAAGACACCCGCGGAGCATCTGCGGTTCGAGGGTTCTCGATACGGTTCTCTGCACCGAGGCGGCCCGACGGGCGTGGACCCGGGCTTAGGGCGGCGGGGGCCAGGGTCGACCGCGGGCTCCCAGAGCGCCGCGAGGTGACCTGCGGGGCTACGAGTCCATCGCCGAGGTCCTTGCCCTGCCAGGGTCAGGCCGCGGCGGGGAGGGACCGAAGGCGGCGTCTTAAAAGGCGGGGCGGGCGGGGAGAGGTGGCGCCCTGCGTCTGCAAAGAGGACCCCCGCCATGGAGGCCGCCCGGGATTACGCCGGAGCCCTCATCAGGCGAGTGCCGCGCTCGTGGGACTCAGGACCGCGCCCGCGCCCCCGCGCCCTGTGAGCCTCGCGGTCCCGCGCGCACACCTCCCGGCCCCGCGCCC